ATTTGTCCTTTTTGAATCATTACTAGTAGTGATAGACTTTGTTTCATAGTTCCTGAATAAAAATGACCAAGTCTCACAAAATGGTTTGTGTGTATTTGAACATCATAGCTTAAAATAAAAAGACTTACGAAATCTTTAGTTACAATAATCTTTTTGCTAAAATCGACTCATCGAAAATGACATCTTTGGCCCGTTTTTATAAAAATAATTTAAGCAACTGCTAGAAATATTTGTATGTAGTTATTGTTTATTTAGTAATAATAAGGTATAACTTGTATTTCATTCATAGCATCGTCTAGCGCGGCACAATCAAAGGTTTGGTACCAAGTTTAAAATGTTGCTTACAATCCTGGTGTACTATTTACAATAGTAAAGATAATTTATAAAGATATAAAAGAGTGTGCAACCAGGATTTATTTTGAATTTTTTATATCAAACTTCTTAACCAAGAAGGGGTTGGTTTGTGTCACTTCTTCTTCTTCCTTCGTTTTTCCCTCTATATAAATATATCAGGGAGCAAAAAACAAAGTTAGTGATCCTTCTTAGGCTCTCCAGACTTCCGAACAGTCCCAGTTGGTGAGAATCCACAAGAGAAGCACCTCTCACCACAATCTTTCGTTTGTGTCACTGTGAAGGAATAGAACAGTAGTGTTTGCTTAGTATATGACCTTGTCATCAAGCACCAAGGTCAGATGAAATAATTGAGAAGCAGGTAGTTTGTTTTATAATACTTAAGATTGGATTATAAGCATATGGAGTAGAATGATGCAACTGTAGATCCACATACCACCTCTTATGCTACTGATGAGTAAATTGACGTAGTAGTCCTGTTGATGGCCAAAACACCCAGTGACCAAGATTTAATTTCCGTAAAGCCTGGACATGGAAACATAAAACATCCTTTGAATTCTACCATGGAGCCTAGATGCCTCTATGCTGCGTTTGCGAGACATCTCTTCATATATGATACCATCTCAGCTGCCTTCCGAAAGAGAAAGCTTGGAATTATCAAACTGTATATGAATTATCTAGGCGTCCAAGGCTGCTCCAGTTTTCTCAGTTCCTTTTCCAATCAAGCATTGTTACGGCCTTTAATTTAGAAAAATTGTTTCCGCTACAAACTTGCCAGACGCTCAATGGAGAGAGTACGGTTCGCAAAAAAGAAAAAAAAATCAAGAGTCAGTTAAATATTAATAATTATCTAACAGGCGCTACGCTATATAATTTGTTGACTTTTGGAAAATTGCGAAAACCATAGGAAAAAAAATATTAAATTAAAAAAAATAATATTTGGACGCGGAGCAAGCTACGAACTCGGAACCTACGGGTTTAAAAACATATGTTAATTACTCTTATCACCTATAGAACCTTCTTATTTGGTTAATATTGATTTTCCCTAATTCCTCGAATAGGGTATTACAATTCCTTCTTAAACTAAAAAACAAAACAATATATCATATAAATAAAACCTGAAAACAAACACAAACGAAAAAGAAGAAAATAAAACTGTCTATCATTAATACTGATAATGAATTTATTTATTTCTATTTCTATTGACTTAAATGACAGCTAAAGGAAATAAAAATTATATTTATTTTATATATACATTAAAAATTATATATACAAGAAATTAGATTTATAAGAAAAAACAATTACTGTAAAATTTAATTATAAAAAAAAATAAGAAAACATTACAAACTAAGCATTAATCTACGATTATACAATATACTAATTATTTAAAAAAATAGATAGTTAAAAAACTTATATGTAAATATTTACAAAATCTCAATGGTGTACTTTGTCCAATTCGCGCATTTTCATCTGTCATCTGAAGAAGCGGGAAGTTATTCTAGCTAGCGTCGTCAGAGTTTCCTTTGTCCACTTCTTCAAGTTGTGAAAATGTTTATTCACCAACTTGTAAAAATGAAGCGGCACTCGTCGCTGATAACCACTTGTTCCTGGAAGGAAAAAAGGAAAATCCGGCGTACACCGTAAAACTAAAGTATTTCACACAAAATTCCTTAGCGTCCTCTACATTCACGAGATTCTGCCATATATCCCAACTGTCTTTTTTCCCCCAATCATGTGTTGGCTATTACAATCCGAATTTAAATTAATACTTAAAACTGATACTAATTACTTAATTTTATTTAACTCTCTTCGAGGTAATAAAATTAAGTAATTAAAAATTAGTTAATTTTAATAAAAAACTATTATGAACTAAATTTTGTTTTTCCATATATTTTATTTTACGTTACAGTATGACGTAGTGGTACCTATGTAGTTTATATTGAAATTCTGCTTTAATGTTTCTAAGACAGTTTACAACGAGAATATCTAAAAATATTCAACTCGACAAATTTTATAAATTTTCTTTAAAGAAAATAGTGTAAACTCAATACCTTCTTAATTGGTTTATTTATTTTATTGATAACATATATTTTTTTGGCATACAATTTATCTGTGTACTCTTCAGTAACAGTAAGATTTCTAGTTTTAGAACCGAACATGCTAAAATGATTTTTCCTGTTCCATTCATATTTTTAGCATTCTGAATCCCTTTGAGGCGGTCCTGTGACAGGTCTCATTATTGTCGCTGGAGACTGAGGTAGGAGCGTTGGTTGGAAAAACAAACAAAAATATTCGCTCAGAGTTCGAACAAACTTGGTACTGACAGTGCCGATAGTGTGTATATAGGTGTGTCTGTCTTGTTTTACTTTACTTATCTTTAAGTTTATTTTATTTCTATTTATCATTTATAAGTTTTGATTGCTATTCAGTTGTTACTTTGCTTCTGTTTTATTTTACTTATTTATATTTTCTGTAAATATGGGGCGAACGTACTTGTAGTGATATTGGGGTGAATAGCAGAGTAACAAATCTTGCTCCAAACGCTTTACTTTATTACCAAACCTTTAATACAAAATAGGATTCCTGCACAGAAAATCCGAGTCGCAGCCGTGAAAATATCAATAAAAAACATATGATATAGAGAAAACAACGCCTCCCTGTCCAACACATAACTGCAACTGGTGAGAGATTACTTATGAATTTGTCACTGAATAATATGAGAAATTCTTATACCTAACAATAATAAAAATAATAAAGAAAATTAATGATAAAAATAGTATTTTAACTAAACAAAAAATAAAAAGGATCAAATGAACGCCTAGAGTCCTATCCAATTTATTTTCTGTTCTGTTTTTCCCTCCACAGTTGGAGGGACAAGCCTGCCTCGGAGTTCGGAGTTCCTCTCAGCAGTGACAAATCTATTTCACACTTCTTTGCTCTAGCCAGCAGTGTGTACATAATCTGCCTCTACAACACTCCACTTTATATTCGTTATACACTCTTGCCTCACTATAACCAATGTCCGTATTGTAACAGAATGTTATATTGCACAATAAAATTAATAAAGAAAAAAAAAAGGAGAAGACAGTGGTAATAGGTTGGGAGTGTTACTGGTCGCTCGTCCGGGTGGTGCCCAGAGCATTGATTTATAAAAATTTTCAAGACATGTCTATCTTTTTTTTTTTTTTTTTTTTTTTTTTTTTGTTCTTCCCTACCTCGCCTTTTAGGCTATACGGGATTTTCCCGGGCCGGGGGGTGAGGGCGGGGAAATTTAAAATCCCCTCCGGCGCCGGGACGCGAACTCGTACTTTTTATATCATCTCAAATCTCTGTTATCCGGTTGCCAGGCAACTAGCGGGCTGTTACACACGCTTTAGCCTAAGACCTGTCTATCTTAAAAAATTAATAAATAAAATCTCAATATTGTAAAGTGCAGACCTTTGCATAGATGGTTAATGTCTGTTGTTTTCCCATGCTCCGTTCTATGTAACCAACGAAACCCTACACCATAGCCTCAACATCCCCTTTGTCTTATACCTTATCCCAGAAAAATTCAACAAAACCTATAATCTTCCAAGAATGTTGAAACGAGAGTGGCCCCTCGAACTTTTATAGTTTGTATACCTCGGAGTTCTGGCATTGGTTAGATTCTCCACTCAAGATATGAGTGGGTAGAGCTAGCGCTCTCGCTCAATCTCTACTGGGCTTAGCCCAAGTGACGCGGTTGAGATAGTATTGCAGGGATCTCCTGGAGTCCTACTTTTCCCTCCACAGTTGGAGGTACAAGCCTGCCTCGGAGTTCCCTCGTCTGGTTGTAAATAGTGTATATAGGTTTGAACGTGCTCTTTTTAATTTACTTATCTTCAAGTTATGTTATTTTTATGTATTGTATATTCTTTTTGATTATTATTTAGTTGGTATTTTATTATTTTATATTTTATGTATATATGCTGTAAATGTGTTCTTACCTCACTTTAATCATTGTCCAAGTAAGGGATTGTTGTATTACTGAATAAATAAAAAACGAGTGGATTTTATTCATATTTTCTTCTTAATTCCTTTATATTTTATTAAATAGGTTTCCTATTACACCTTTTATTCCTTCATTGATTTTTTTCAGTTATTCAAATAATAATGATTTTAGGTGAATTTGTATTAAGGATAGACTTTTCTTAACACTCTTTCTGATCTGATGCTTGAGATTTCTGATTACTATTCGTGGTATTTGATGGAAACTATTTCATAATGGTATTTAAATTTACTAAGTAATTTTTGGGTGAATGGCAGACAGTGAACGGGTGCTATAAGGAAATATGGCAATGCTTTCAAAAAGTGAATAAAGCGTTTTCGCTGAGTTTTAAAAAAAAAATGTAATTAATGAGTCTATATTACTTAATTGCTGAATAGACGGTTGTTTATAAGAACACTTTTTAGACTGCCCTGGAAATGATTGGTGGGGATGTTATTCTATTATTTTGTGTAATTAATGAACCTTTGAACAATTCATCAGCGAATAAAAAAATTAACTTAATTATTTAACATGGTATATTTTTTATAACTTATAATTTGGATAGTTCTCCTGAAACATAGCAATAATAGGTAAGAGAGTGAATAAGATAATAAATTGTAATATGTTCTCATTGTTTCAGTTCAATTTTGTTGGTAAGTTACTAGGCCCTAAAGGAAACTCACTTAAGAGGCTTCAAGAAGAAACAATGACAAAGATGGCCATCCTAGGAAGAGGTTCCATGCGTGATCGACACAAGGTAATACACACACGCACACAAATGAAAGCTGTAATTATAAAATATATGAGATAAGAGATTATTTTCTCTCTTTAAAGTAGACACCATATTATTTTATTTATTGATTTATAATATTTGTATGAGAAATATGAAACATGAAGAAATGTATGTTGTAGAAGGGATAGGCATGTATATTTTTTTATTCCTTTTGGCAAGTTATTGCATTGTTTATTGTGTGTTGCATCTCAGCAAATTTGTTTTATTTTTTATTAGAGTATTCTTGTTTTTATCAACGGAGTTTTTGACGTAGCACCATCTACTACACTAATTTGAACAAATTACAGGTATATAATAAACAAACCTCGTATTTAGGAGATTTAAGTAATAAAAAAAAATTTATTTTATAATACTCTATGCATATCATTTTATATATTTGACATAAGATGGCCCCGTGATCTGCTAATGTAGACATATCATTAGATTGCTTCCATAGTTAGTTACTTAGCAAGTGTTTTCACGTCATTATCTCCATATGTTCAAATTTACTAAATGTATTTCTTTAATACAGTTGTAAATATCATTAAGAAATAATATAAACAAATATATATATATTTGATATTTTACTATGATATATTGTTTCAATTTTTTAAATAAATTATACAATATCTGAACAATGCAATGTTCATAATAAAAACTACAAAACATGCATTTTAAGAGAGAATTTTTATATAATATATATTTTACATGAAATACTTATTTATCATGAAATAATAAACATAAATTGAATAGTTAGTGGCATACTGACAAAAAATATTTTATTTGTTGAATATTGTAGTTTTAAATAAATCAAAATGCAAAATGTACTGTTTACCTCGATTCAAAATAATGCTGATACATTAATACAAATTTTTCTTTTGATAGTCGCACAAAAAAAGTTAATTAGGTATTATCAGTAGGCTGATGAACTTTCCTAGTTCTAATTTAGTGCATGGTAGATAATAGTAAAGATAAATTTAACAATTAGTTAATTCTGATCTCGTCATGTCAAGTTTGCGACCTGAATATATATATATATATATATATATATATAGGATGAGTCGGCAGGATCAGGCCAAACAAGTGACCAAGGAGCTGCTGCAGACAGGAAAATATTTTTTAAAAAATCATAAGTACTTATCCGATTTTCATTTATTAAATTTTATTGGTTAATTACAAATTAAAAACAATTAAAAAATAAACAATTTTTTATACATATACATATTAGCATTTCGGTATTAGCATTATGATTTATAAATTTGTGTTGTGGTATAGTCGGCGGTTATTAAATTTTAGAGAAACGCCTCTCATGAGACTACTATTTAAATTTGTTACGATTTAAATTACAAGGACTATTAAAGCTGATTTTCGTTATAGTAAGTTTCCTTCTGTAATAAGATTTTTTTCATCCGCCATGACGAATGTGTACTATTAGGAACGACCTAATACCTGATTGTCATTTTTTTTTTTTTTATAACTAAGACAATTGATATCGATATCGGCTCAGAATTAGTATCCATACCTGGTAGAGAGAGGACGTTGGATGAGTGCTCAAGAGGATTAAACATCAAGTGACCATATTTTTTTCTCTGGCGAATGTTTTTAAAAAATATATTTAAAAAATCCAGTTAGAGTATTTAGTGAACGGAATCTAAGTTAAGGTTTTATGTGATGCTCTGACCTCAATTATTTTTCTATTGATGCAATATAATAATGAATTTATCCATTACTTTAGGAATAATAATTTTAGGAATTAACAAGTGAGGTTTCCTGAACGATCAACGCACCCTTCATTTCAATCAGTTTATACTTCATTTCAATTTTCCTTTAGTTAAAATATTTACCTGTAGCAAAAATATATTTACCTGAAGCTAAAATATTTTGAGTACTTCTGTTCTTTTAGCTAGGCTGAATCAATAAAAAACATGAAACAAAATCATTAACAAAAAAAAAAAAAAAAACTAGAAAACTACTGACCTTTTAAGGATATATTATCTAAATGATTACAGACAGTCAAGCCATCAATATTTCCAGAAATATTCACATTACTATAAATGCTAAAATATTTTGAGTACGTCTGTTTTTTTAGCTAGGCTGTATCAATAAAATACATGAAAAAAAATCATTAACAAAAACAAAAACTTGAAAACTACTGACCTTTTAAGGCTATATTATCTAAGTAATTACAGACAGTCAAGCCATCAGTATTTCTAGAAATATTCAAGTATAAATGCTAAAATATTTTGAGAACCTCTGTTTTTTTAGTTAGGCTGAATCAATAAAAACATGAAAAAAAATCATTAACAAAAACATAAACTAGAAAACTACTGACTTTTTAAGGATTTATTATCTGAGTAATGGCCACTATAAATTTACCGGGTTTTGTATCATCCACAATAGGCTTCAAAATATGTTTTTTTTTCTCTATATGCCGGAAATAATGACAGCCCCTCCAATGGGTGAATATAATCATTTTTGAAAATGGTTCTGCCGGGGGGTTTTCAGATTGGCTTGAAACGTCAATAACAGACATTATTATCGGCTTCGAAAGAAGTCTACGAAAAAAGTAAAAAAAAAAAATTGTTGCTGTTCGTGCATTGGGAAGAGATGGGGTGAATATAATAATTTTTGAAAATGGTTCTGCCGGGGGGTTTTCAGATCGGCTTGAAACGTCAATAACAGACGTTATTATCGGCTTCGAAAGAAGTCTACGAAAAAAGTAAAAAAAAAAATTGTTGCTGTTCGTTTATTTTAAAGCTGCTATGAAACCATTTTAAGATAAGATAATTTCAATGCTATAGAAGCAACGGTTATCCCCATATGCTAACATGACTTGTGATGTGAACGATGACGGAAAACTGATTTAAGTAGTGAGGGGGGAGCCCCTTATCCGTTCATCGCAGAAAATGGGCTCTATAAACGAGATACTCCATCACTTCTCCTCTTCAACATTTCTCAGCCCAAAAAAGAACGATATAAGCCTAAAGTAGTATAATTTAAAATGAAAATAATTTACATACTTAATTGGTAAATTTTAATACTAATGTATATATTAATTAATAATGCAAGTATTTTGAGATCCATCTCTTCTTTAATTCATTTTTACAATAAGTAATCCTTTGTGTTAAAAACCTGTCCTCGGCAGTAAATATACACTACTGTTGCCCAAATTCGGTCTTGGTCTTGCAAAGTGCAAGATCAAGACCAAGACGAAGAACAAGATTGTAAAAAAAAAAAAAAATCGTTTTTGTGAATGAAAATTAATAGGAATTAAAATAGTTACTAATACTTGGCAATTTTAGTTACTATATGCAACCTATATACCTTCAACTTCCCAATTTTTTATTCGGCTTAGCTAGGTTTCCCCTATCTGGAAATTACAATAATATCTCTATAATAGATAATTACAGGACTGTTGACAGACTCTTGAGCAAGACCAAGACCAACACCAAGACTTATCCTGGTCTCGCATTTGGGCATCACTAACCTACGCTGAGTACTGAAACAAATCCATATATTAATTTAATTTAATTTTACATATTGTGTACTTATTTTACAGACTGTGTTTTTAATTTACTTATCTTTAAGTTATTTTATTTGTTTTATTGCATATACTTTTTCATTATTATTTAGTTGTTATTTTGCTTTTGTTTATTTTATGTTTTCAATATATATGGTATGAATGTTTTCATATCTCACTATTATTGTTTTCCTGTGTTGTTATAATAGTTATACGATTGTCATATTTCTGAATAAATATAACAAAAGAAAAAGCCTACTAATTTTCATTCAATAGAGACATGGTCATTGACTGTCATCAAACAGGACGTGACTTCCATGAAAAAGAGGTCTATGAATTCGACAAGAACCCTTTCTTTTAAAAAATTGTATATTAAATGGTATAACTTAATGATACCCTCGCGAGTATTCATACAAACAAAAGCTATATCGATATGATTCTTGACTAGCCAAGTAACACTAATTTAAAAATATTAAATTTATATTGAAAAATAATGGTAGATTAGATTTCTGAAATTTAAGAATAAACTAGAATAAATCTTCCAACACCAATGGCAACGGTTAATTATCCACCAGGTCACTTAAACTTAATTTTACTTTCACTTAAATTTACCTGAAAAATATTGAAATGGGAAGTATTGCGATTGTGGACCATTTTGAATTCGCATTTACAATTGAAAAAGTTTTTAAGGTGCCCTGAGCTCAAATAAACAATTCCCGCAAGCTGGTCTGTTTGTACGTAATTGTGTGTTTGTGTTTGAATAGCATAGCTCAAAACAGAAAAAAAAAAAAAGTATTACACCAAAATTACTTTTGAAGGTAGGTATATGCCTGGGATGTTATAGCAATTGTTTTCGCCTAATCGGCTTACAATAAATGCCACTTTATCTTACATTGTTCTCGAAATTGCCTCTAACTCTTTTGACTGTAATTGCTAAACCGATTTAAAATTAAATTATCTTTAATATCAGTTAGGTCCTGTCTTCCTTGAAATAGTCTAATATGTCTTTAAAGCCTAATTTTCAAAAAGTCGTTTAAAGTACTTTTAATTTTGGTTATTGTAAATAATTATAAGATCTCACATTGGTGATTATAATGCAACATGAATAAATATAAACAATCGAAGAATTCTACAATTATATATATATTTTTAAATATTGTATTTAGTAATAAAACATTCTGCTAATTAACTAAAGGAGAAAATGGGAGGTGATCAATGATATAAAGTGACACTTCCGGTGAGTGGAGTTTAGCGAAAAAGTTGGTGTAAAATCTCGGACAAGTATTTATCTTACGTAATTTCACTGTTGTACATCTTTTTGTTTTTTAATTATAATGTCCGCGTACAAAACAAAAGTTTTGTGAGACTTGGTTATTTCTATTAAAGGGAACGAAAATTGAGATTTTCCATTGAAAACTGGGATTCGAAATTTGTCTCGAGAGCAATGTGTTACAGAATTCTTTTTATCAATTTATTAACATTCTTCAAAAACATTATGAATGGCTTCTTTTTATCGTGATCTAAATTTATTTAGTTTTAAATCTAGAGATCGGTAACTTTTATTTATTTATTGAGACACTTAAAACTCATGAACACCCAATTGCTTTACAGCCGAACTGTAAGATTATTTTATTATTATTGGGCCATTTGGCGTGACATCCACCCCCAACAGGCACTAGCGGACCCAGGATTAAATTTTGGGGGGACTTCAGCCCGAGAGATTTTTTTTCATATAGGTATAACAATAATTAATTAGAAAAAAAGAAAGAAATTAACTACCTATATGAAATGGTATTTAAGTGATTCTTGAAGTCTTATTAAATGTAATTACACTAACAAGAATACTTTCAGAGATAGTTTTTAATATTTTTTCTGTAAAACATGGTTATATTTTACCAATTTCGGGGGGGATCTTCAGCCCGAGAGTCCCCCCACCCCGTAGATTCGACTGTGCCAACAGGTAAAAATAACGAGATGATATAACCCAAACGGCCCAATATTTTTGTCAGCGACCTTTTTTCTCAATTTTGCTATCAAATTATCTTACGATTCAAGTTGAAAGCAAATGGGTACTCATGAGATTTTAGTTCTTCATTAAATTATTTATTTTTATTAATTTATTTTTAATTAATTAAATTAATGAAAAAATCCGTATTTATGTATTAATTTTCTTCGTAGACATAAAAAGTTTTAGGTAACAATAAGATGATGCCAATCACGAAGTACTCGCCGTACACAATCTGTTCCGATAACTATCTCCTTCACTATATTTCAAATATAGGTAAGTTAAGGAAAAGATTTATTTATACTGAAATTAGGGTGGTAGGTGAAAGCTGTGTTATCCATCGCACCAGGCTTTTTTTTTGTTGAAGTGGACCATCGCATTCTTTGAATTTTGGGAGCTATTGAATGGGATGGTGTATATCAAGAAGTAAGTTAGGAAGAGGAAGGAAGGGAGTTCTGCATTGAGCCGACGGCTGATAGCTTGGACAAGGAGGCCTATTCTCTCTCGTTCGATAACTGCCAACTGGATCCGGCAACCTCTTCAAATAGAAATACGTTTACCCACCATTGACTGCGAACAAGAAAAAAGCTTCAAAATGTTGATATTACTTAATAAACTTATGTTATTTATACAATATATATATTTTTTTATGAGCCCGAAATGATGTCAGTTTGTATTCAGCAATCCAAAAACCATCTGTTATCATAACAAATTATTAGAGATCTCTTTTCGGCTCTCAGAAGCGATGGATTTCGTTGAATGTGGTGTCTAAACAAAGGGAATCCCACGGAGAAGTGACGAATCCTAATTTTGATTCTTAAATTCCTTTAAAAACTTTAATAAAAGTCATCGAAAAAATTGGGAGGTTTAAAATTTAGATGGTTTCTGAATCAAAGTCAACCGATTGAGACGGGAGAAATTGTATTTTGAAGATACCTACATGGTCATGTTTTTTTTATTGATTATTGAAAATATTACAATCTGTCTCAAAGGACATTTATAACAGTGTTCAGAGATCACATTCACACTTTATGTACAATAATAATATATATACAATAAGTAAGTATAAAATAATCTAAAAATAAATAAATAAAAAGAACACAAACATATCTATTTAGACTATTTCGAAATTAATCGTAAATATTGTCGAATTCCAATTACAAAATCTAATGGAACTGTAAGTGGAGGGGAATAGTATAGATTAGCATAAGATCACGGATAGCTTTATCTCATTGCTCAACTTTTAAATTGGAGTAATATTTTCCTTTAGGATTTTTTAAAAATATTTTTTTATGTCTTCGCATCCTCGTATTTTAGGCTACATGGGTTTTTCCCGGGCCGGGGAATCATTCCGAGTTGAAAGTCCCACCTAGCACCGGGATTTGAACTATTTTTATTTCTCCAAATTCGTTTAACAGGTTGCCGGGCAACGCACGGTGCTATGTGCATGTGTTAGCTCGCTCGGCCACCCCGCCACTAAAAAATTGGTAGGGTTGACCGTGTTACCACGTCCTATGCCTATGTTTAACAAATTCCACAAGGGGTGATGTTTGACAAATTTTCAAGGGGAGCGCTGATCAATTATTATGTTAATTATTTCTTACAATTTTCATGGTGAAATGGTGAAATATTTATCTTGATAAAATTATATTGCCCTGCATCTCATCATCACGCTCATCTGCATCATCTCAGCATGACGCTTACATGTCGAATGCATCAGGGGAGGGATAGAAAATGCGAGTTCTCATTGGAGTGTGCCAGTTCATTATTTTCAAAATATCAGTGATAGAAAAAAATATTTTTTTATTTCAGTTCAGAGTGGGTTAAACATTTTTAAATCCACAAAATTACTTATGGTCTGAAGCTCTGCACCTCCTCTTCAGATTATCCGGTTTAATCTCTCAGAAAGAAAGGAATTCTTTCTATCCATAAAAACAGCTATTAAATTAACTTGGAAGTATGTTTAAAAAAAAATAAAACAAAATTGAGATTTTTTGTCTACAACATTTGTTGTGCAACGTATCAAGAACCCGGTTAAAGCAAATAGCCTAGTTTAATAAGAACCATTATAGATCCTTCAAATTTTGATTGAATTATTGGTGGTTTTTTGAATATTTAATGAAATTTGAAGGAGCCAAATTTTGTTCTAAATTTGTAATTTTAGATCCTAAATTCTTATTTAATTCCTAACTTAGGAAATATGGATGTACGGGTTTCTTAAATAGCTCGTGAAATATCTTAGTTTTGACTATAAGAATTTTATTAATTTATTTTATTCTGTAGAAGAATACTGTTTCATTACAGAGAAATAATTCAATGAACCCTTCAGATCACTATAAAGTTTATTGTTTTCATTCGATTACCAAATTTTCTCACACATTCATTTTTTGTACAATTAAAATAAGGTGCCTTTTCAATATTAATAACGGAATATTCGAATTAAAAAGTTATGATTTACCAGCATTTATTAAATTAAATGATGCTATGTAATTAAAAAAGAAAACTTTAATTTGTTATCAACGAAAATAAAGATAGTAGTAAAATACTACATTAGTTCATTTTAAGACCACTCAATTAGACCCAAATATATTTTTCAGAAAAAGATATAGCAAGATTTGGTTATTTTTCTTCAATACAAGGACTGTAAGAGAATCCTGAAACTCAATTTCACTTTTGAGTAACTTTGTAGGCGTTGCCATGGTCGCATATTTCCATAATGTTCAGCTTCAGATCCTAAATGTAATTGGAAAATCCTAAATAAATTCTCTTTTTGTAGCTCCTCATTCTGTACTTATTACTGAGACCCTCATCTCCCCCCCCCCTCATCAAACCGACGATGACCTCAATTCCTATTCCACTGATCCTCTCCCGAATAAGCTTCAGGCTTAGACTAACTCCCTTCTATTTTCTACTCTTCAGACTTCATTTAATACTAAATGATTTTACTTTTTTCACATTACCCCCTTATGAATTAAGTGCTTCCGTGAATAAAACCTTCTTATATTCTTGACCTCCTCATTTTGCGTTCTTTCATCCACCTCTTATATGAAAATTTTAACCAATCGATTTGCATGACCTTTCTGATAGGACTGTTTCTTTTGAAAAATCATTTACTGCTCATGTTGCTTCGATTTAGAATTGCTTACCAACCTCCATTCAAAGCCACCTTCCTGATTTATGCTATATTACCTTTACATCTACCAAACATTTCACATGCATTTAAAGAATAAATGTCTATTTAAGGTTAGAAAAATATGTATATTGTAAACAGTATTGGTCTGAAATACTATCAAAGATACATTGCTGTTACAGAAGAAGCCTGGCCCTATTCATATCATCATTGTTCTTTTCTCTTATAATCACTATCAGGGCGATTAATTGTATTAATCTGTTCTTGATTAGTCCTCAATGCCAATACGTGTCATATTGTTTCCTGCTCCAAAGTTAACATTCAACTCGTTTCTTGTAATTTATGTTCAATTCATTCAATATGCTCGGTTATTTCCTTTACTGTTTTCATGCTGTCATCTAGATATTGTTCTTAATGTCCTATATGTGAAATGGCACAATTAATTCACTAAGCCAACATGTTCCTTCCTAGTTTCATACCTTTTCTTTCTGCACGATTTACAGATTCTTGTCTTCTCCACTTCTGTATATTTCGGGCTACTGTCATCCAACTCTGGAGAATCTTTGTTGATTCTATCTATCCATCTGCTTTTTGGACTTCGATTTGATCTCTTGCCAACTATTGTGACATTCATTATTTGACAAGTCCCGCCCTTCTTCGCCCTCGTACCATGAAATATAGTTTCTGTAAGCAGTGTGGGCCTTAGAAATTCGGCGCCCCCAAGCAATGACGTTATTCCCCATCCCCATAAAAAATTTAATTTATTTCTTAAGCTTTTTTATATTATGTACTATTTGAATTTTATTTCATTGAATATTTCTCCAATACAGTTGCTTTATTGATTGTCTAAAATTAATTATTTTAAGACTTTTTTTGTTTTAATTTCTAATAACTGCTTTACCGACTCTCTAAATTCTCAACCCCTACATATTTCCTAGGCGTCTGAAGAGAAAATGACGTCGAGAACTATTTAGGTACTACCATTGATTAACATCACGAAAAGTCTGTTATTCATGCTGTTGTTATATTGTTCGCATATAATGGTTGTATTTATTAAATACTGTTGTAAATTTTAAAAAAATCTCAACATAATCCTCAAAATAAATGAAGATCATAATCTATTAATTCAGCTAAAATGAAAAAAAAAAAAAAAATAGATCACTGGATGTTCAAGCCAGGATCTTGTAACCAGAGGTGTCATCCACCATTGAAAATCTGGAGATGTCGTTTTTCCACCTTGATTGAAACATACACACATTATATTAATAATACATTTTCAGAATTTTTGGTTTTGTATCATTTTCAGGAAGAGGAATTACGTGGATCCGGTGATCCTAAGTTTTCCCATTTACTGGAAGAGCTCCATGTTGAAGTTACAGCATTCGCACCACCAGCTGAGGCACATGCAAGAATAGCTTATGCTCTTGCTGAAGTCCGGAGATTTCTTGTTCCTGTAAGTATCGGTTACTTAACAAAAAATCTTCAATTATTTGTATGACAAAGCTATAAGAAATGGGTACATATTATTATATAATTATATCAATATATTAAATTTTTAGTAATTATATAGACGGATAAAGAGTAAATTATTCGCATTAAATTAACTATAAAATATATAATGAATGACAAATCAGAAACGGTTTTTGTTGGTCAATAATTCTCGTTATGGTAGACGTAATTAGGAATATTTGTACCAAAAATATTTGAATATAATTTATTATACGGAAATGTATAAATGAAGTAATACGAGATATTTTTCAAAAGATATAGAAATAGTAATGGAAAAATCAACTCATGCTGGAAATAAGTCCCTTAAGAATAAAAATAGAAAGAGAGTTGATGAACAATTCCAGCCTTAAGAACGATTATATAATAAGAAATCAAAATAAAAACCTACTAAGTGTGTACATAGTTATAAAAAAATATATTAAAAAAACAGATGAGGAAAAGTGAAATACAATATTCCCTACTTAGATAGCATAATACAGAAACGGTAATTAAATTAATCATATAAGCAAACACTCTTAATTAACAAAGAAAACAAATAAATTGCTACTTCTGTTATTTACAAAATGTATTACTAAATAAACATAATTGTTTATAAAATGTGATAAATAAATAAACATAATATTGAACTGCAACCAAGGGCTCTGTACAAAATAATATGAAATATATAAATATTCCTTACAAAAAAAAAAATGTTTAATGATAAATAAATTCTTAATACATACTAATAGGGTGTATAAAAAAAATGACAGTTTTTCAACCAAATATTTGTATTATTATTTCTATGATATAAAATACAGTTAATACTCAAAGTATTAATTGTTCCATAGTTATCTACCGTCAATAGCCAATTGCTGGATCCCTCGCTGGTTCCATTCTTTGGGATGGGTGTCAAAAAACTCTTAGACCGCGATTTCAACTTCCACAAAATTATCAATTTTTTTCCCTTGAAGAAAATGAGCCACAGATCTAAATAAGTAGCAATCCCATGGTGCGAGGTCTGGACTATATGGTGGATAAGAAGATAGAAGTTTTTCAGGCAAGGGGTTTTCAACAAATTTTCAAAAACTTCTAACCTCTTCGTTCGTATTTCTAAGTTCGTGAGGGACCAGTCTACTGCTCTTTTTCACCTTCCCCATGGCGAGTAGATGGTGACTAACAGTATCTTTCGAAACTCCCTGGGAAGTTCGCGAGTACTTGTGGACGGATTTGACTCAACAACTTCCTGCAGAATCTCATAAATATCCATAATTGGTTGCCCGGAGCCCTTCTTCCTTTCCAACGTCGTATCTCCACAGCTATTTTTTTCAAACAAACGCCGCACAGTTTTTACGGCTGTGAATTTTTTTTTCCATAATGCCTTAAAATTACAAGAATTTAGTAGTAGGACACTGTCATGTTTTTTTTTTTTAACAAATAACTAAACTGAGACTTTTTTTTGAAAAAGTCGAATGGGATTAAACAAGCTTAGAAAATGCTCTAATGGGATTATTAGGTATTGATAAGTATTAATTAGAATTAAAATATTTAGTCCTTTGAAATCTTGAATTTGAATTTGTTGAATAAAACGGTCATTTTTTTTATACACTCTATTACATATTAAGCCAGCGACTGATTGAGTTGCGAAGAGGAATCGGAAAGGGAGAGTTTTAAATGTGGGCAAGGCGGGGAGGGTGGCGAATTTTAAGAGGGAGGGAATTCCAAAAATCGGTGGAGCGGGCAATGACGGAGTTTTGGAATGAGGCATATCTTTGAAAAGGAGTATGAAGATCAGGATGTCGAGATCTTGTGGAGAGGGAGCAGATGTAAGACTTGAATTATAGGAGATTGTAGGCATAGGATGCAGGATGTAGGTGATGCTTGTTGATTATTTGGTAAAGGAATGGGTACTTGTGAGCGACGCGGCCTCTATGGACTGCTATCTGCAGTTATCTTGTTATTTAAAGCATTGTTTTTATTATTTATATTTCTTATTATTAAATGTTTATAACCTGAACACTGATAATTGTTATAAGGCACTGATAATCACTTTCTTCATATGAAATTAGAGTCTCGTATACTAAGAAATATAAATATATTTGGTGTTGCCTCTTTTTTGCCTGTTTCTTATTAATATATATATATATATTAATAAGAAATATAAATATAATAATAGTGTAGTAATTTAATAATAAGAAATATAAACAACAACAAAAACACTTTAAATAACAAGATAACTGCAGATAGCAGTCCATAGAGGCCGCGTCGCTCGGAAGTACCAAGGAATGTGCCTAGGAAGTATTGTCTTCTGAAGTATTCGGGGTTCCATTGACGAATCTTATGAAGGTAATAATTTAGACCTTTTTAGTCTCCATTAAGAAAACAATTGTACAATTATCCAAATTTTCGCCTCTTCAAGCATTTATTTAATTTTAAAACATCTGGAAAATTTTGGCAAATTTATGATACAAAACTATGTATCATTAAAATGTTTTTTTACCGGCATAGGAATAATAATGTACAACAGACGTCAATAAATATTATTGTTGATTCAAGATACTGATTGTTTCAGAAAAGAAATCATTATCTTATGAAGCTGTTATTTTATGCCTGTCTCTGAGATCCGCCGAGATGTCACCGTAGTCAAGTTGGGGGAAGATGACGGAGGAAACTAAAAGTCGACGTGTAAGTTTAGGTAGGAGATGGCTGGAGCGATGAAACAGTTTTAGGGTGTAAATTGATCGACCGGATATATGAGAAATGTGGTGATTCCAGGTTTTGATGTATGTCTATGACTTAAGTTTTTAACTGAGGAACTGTGGGTGATGGGATGGTCATTTAGGCGTAGGAAAGGAAAGTTGGTATAGGTCCTGAAAAGGGGGTTGGAGCCAACGACAATGGCCTGAGTTTTAGCACCGTTTAACCTTAATACATTTAAGCTTGCCCTGGAATATATTGTAACAAAGTAAAGAAAAAACTATGAAACAAAATGAGTCATAAAAAATTTAAAAAATATACCTGTCTAAATTTTTATCTTTCGCGTTCAAAATGCGTTTGCTACTTTACTTAATCAATCATGGATATTCAGTATTTCCTATTCGCCACCTGGGGAATCGCTACGAATGGGTTTCGAAATCTGATTGTACTATATTAAGCAAGTATGTTTAGATATTTTTTTTTTATGTTTTAAAATATCTAATTTGGTGTAAATTAGGGTTTTAAAATAGCTGTATTCACTTTTATTAGGACTATAACGACGATATAAGACAAGAACAAATGTGGGAAATGGCTGCCTTGCGTGGAGTCACATCTTCCTCAGCTTCATCGGAAGGCCCTGAGTCAACAGGTGAGTGATTGCAGACTTTATAAATGAAATTGTTATTTATTAATCGACACATATCCATCTGATCATGATTAGTGATTATTAAAGCATTGTTTATTTTTTTTATTTCCAAGTGTATTAAGAAAGACTCTTTAATATTTGTATAGAAAATTAAAATTACTTCTATTCATTTCTCTCACGGCCGCGGAGCACACAGAGTTATTCTCTGTAATGTATATGTCGATAATCAGGAACTAATTTAAACTAGCTACACAGTTTCTTAATTATTATTAATTTCTAGGTTTTGTCTAGTGTTGCCCAAATGCGAGACCTAGATGAGTCTTGGTCTTGCAAACTCAGTCTTGGTCATGGTCTTGGTCTTGGGCAATATTCTCTCAACAGTATTGCAGTTACATATAGGCTTATTCCTTCAGAGATGTTACTGACATTTTTTAGATAGGGGAAACCTAGCTAGTCCCGAATGAAAAATCAGAGGAGTTAAATGCAAAAGTATATTGGTTATACCGATTCTTTACATTTAGTAACTAACATTGTCAACTATTAGTAACTATTTTGACTAAATTTTTAATGAAAAAATCGATTTTTTTTTATCAGTCCTGGTCTTGGTCTTGCAACAGTTAGGCGGCCTTGGTCTTGGTCTTGCAAAGTACAAGACCAAGACCAATTTTGGACAACACTAGTTTTGTCCTACTTGAAGGCACCATTAGTAGACATCAAGCCAGTAGTAGACACATGAAACTTTAACTTAAGAAAATAAGAGTTGGAACCATCAGAATTATTAGAATTTGTTGTCATTTTAAACTTTAGCTTATACTGTGTAGCCACTATAATGCTGTTGCAAACCAAGCGAGCAGTGGAAAGGTTCCAAGGTCCTGCTGTTAAGGAGGGGAGTTTGATTTTCATCAATTATTCTTTTATTGTTCCAAGATTTTTCACAATTTTTTTCTCTAAATGATAGTGTAGACAATGAACCTGGACTATGAGGTAACGTGTTTTTGTGAGTTAGTTTTGTTTGATGGAGCACATAAACAAACTGTCTACTATATATGGGATACTGATAATACCTCTTGTTCCATTAGTAGACGGAAGTGTCAACTACTAGCAAACTCAACTGTAGTAATGATTTAATATCATTCATAGTTATATTCCAAGCATCGGAGTGTTCGAATTTTTCCCAAGAAATGTCTTTTTCCTTTTTACCTACAAATGTAATTTAATTTTAAAAAATAATTTTTTTGTTTTTTTTCATTTTTGAAGTTTGTATTTTTTAAAAATCATAGTTCCTTGGTAATAACTGCCAATATAGGTGCATATTTGATTAGAAATATATTAATTAAGTGGTGTCAACTACTGGTGTGTTTTCTTGTTTACTACTTGTACCCTGATGTCTACTATTGGTGAAAATTATATAGAAAAACTATATTTGTTATATAATATAATAGAAAATTATATATATGTTCTAGAAAATTATCTAAAAAAACGACTTAAATATCAATGTTTAAGTTATCTTAGAAGGAATTTAGGTCACATAAGATTGTTGCAGGACAAATATAGCAAAAAAAAAAAAAAAAGGAAACTTGAATAGAATCTAATGAGTTACATTTAAAATTATTGTAAGAGTCTCACGATAGTGTCTATTACTGGTGACTTTACCCTAGCCGATACCAATGCAAAATTGCTCAGAAAGGATTATTTAAAGGACTTCATATTATTACTGAACTCTTTACTAAATTCACAATGGTTTTGGGTTGGGTTACCCAATTTCAAAAGCAGTTAACTATTTTCCTTTTATAATTTCCTTTTTTTTTTTTTTTTATAATTTTTAACGTTAGATTCATTATCTATGCGTTTAAATTACATACATTACACTATTATGTTTAATTTTCTTTTGTAAATTTATCATATTATAGGTATTAGTCAATAAAATAAATACATTATTATCCTTCCCTTATTGCTCATATTGTATAACTGGCATGACATATTAGGCATAACTGGCAATTTCGACTCGATTCAAAACAAGATTTTTAGGTCATTCTATCATAATTAATCATTTTTTCTTTATTCTTTGAAAATATTACAATCTCTCTCAAAGGACATTTATAATAGTGTTTAGAGATCACATTCACAACTCCATGTACAATAAATAAAAATAAATGATATAGAATAACAATATATATACAATAAATAAGAATAAAATGACCTAAAAATAACACATAAATACCTGTATACACTATTTACAATCAAGCGAGGGAACTCCGAGCCAGATATGTCCCTCCAACTATGGAGGGAAAAGCATGTCTCCAGGAGATCCCTACACTACTCTCTAAACTGCGTCAATGGGGCTGGACCCAGTGAAGATTGGGTGAGAGCGCTATTTAATAATTAACAAATAATATTGTCATTATCAATTATTGAATTGATAATACAATTATCTTCAATTTACATTCGCCAAGTGGTGGAAATTCGACCATAATTATAATTGAAGATTTTGAATGAAAAAATAAATGAATCAGCCCAATTCGCAGCATTTTTTTTTTCTACTTTTATATAGTCGTACAGTTTTATATTTGCAAAAGTACCATTTATGTATTTTTTGAATTATTGGCAAGTACAAATGTGAATCCATCGTTACACTTGGCTCATCCAGTGAAAATTAAGGACAAAAAAATTATATTTATCGATTGCTACGAAAATTCGTATTTGAGATTTTTTCAAAAAATTTCAAATTTTTACTGTATAGAAAGCAAAATCTTTGTTGTTTTCGAATGGAATTTCTTCTGATTCGAACAGCCACTACATTTTCCGTTTTCTCAGTGCAGGAACGGACCGGTCGAGGTCTGTCACATACAGATAGGGTCTCATTATATCTATTTATAGTGTGGTACGCGAACATAACGCTGATACCCAAAGGTTTCAAAGTGTTGAAAATCTCTTACTCTCATTTCCCAACTTTGTGTAATGCGATCACAGCTATTCGGTTTTCTTTATCATCCCACTCTATGTTAACTGAGCAAAAGAAAAATACAATTGGGATTATTATCTGACAGTTAAAGATTATAACCTGATAGAGGTAAGGATTTAAGGATCTAAATAAATAATACCCAAAGATATAAACAAAGTTTAACTTTTGTAACAGTATTTAAGGCAGGACTAGGTATATACTCTGTTTCCATTTTTTTTTAAAGTATAACACTAAAGGCCTTGAGGATTATTCCATATTATAAATATGTTTTAAATTCATATTTTATAGTTGGGAGTACAAAATGTGAAAGCAATTTAAAAAAATAATGTAACAATTATACCAATGCAACTCATAGGTAAACCGTGAGGCCATAGATTCATTATTTTGTACAAAACTTCTGTTTCTAGGAACAAGCAGGTTATTTGTCCGAATATCACGCTCAACCGTAAAGTTCCCCAATTCATCATTTCATTAATTAAGAGTACCCACTTTACTAGAGGCGGAGTGTCCCACAGGTGGCTCTCTAGACCATGGGTCGATCCACGGCTAATGCATAGTGCACTCTCACTGAGCTACTCCACTCCCCTCAGCCCATTAAACTTGCATCGCAAAAATAATAAATTTAAGTAAAGATAAATTCAAATAAAATTTTTTGAAGGCTATTTTAGAAAAATATTTAAAGCCATCTTCATTGGTAAAATTTTAGAAGTGTTTGAAACCTTATAATAATTGTTCTATCGTGGTATATAGATTTTTTTTTGGTTTGGCTTCACAAACCTTATAGATCTTTTGCCGCCTTAACTAGTATTCTCCACCAGTTTTTGAATTATATCCAGCTCTACAGCATCTTTATTGATTCTACCCATCCGTCCGGTTTTCGGCCGTTAATGTGATCTCTAACCTACCATGAAGGCATTAACTGTTATGTTGAGACCTCTTGATGGATTGCTTCGATCTAAATGCCTCACCTATTTCAAGTTCCTTGCCTTCATATCATGTTGATCATTGTTCATATCAATCATATTGATCGACTAGTTTCCGTAAGTAGTACATCATTTGTCCTTCTCTTCCAATGATTAGTACTCTCATCCCAGATAAATTAAGGATATAAATATTCAATTTTAATTAGTATACGTTTCCCGTGATTATTAAATCAATTGGTGAGTCAACTTGAAGAGATGAATATGTTACATGTGAGAAACATAAACTAACATATAAACTTTGAATCGTTTTTTCTAACTGATGCTTGTTTCAGGTACGGAGGATTCGGAACCAGCTTCGAGAGGAGGCAGTGGGCGGAAAAGGCCGCTAGGTATAGCTCAAAGGATGTCCATGTCACCAACGAAGAGAACTGTACTCAGCATTCTAGCAAGGGCCAGATCTGCCCAAGCCCCAGAGCCTTCTCCTTTTGGGTTAGTTTTAGAGCTAATGTTTTTCACATCCCTAGACTAAGTGTTGGTAATAGTATGGTGCCCCTCCCGTGTGATACATGTATGTCTTGCTATGTATCGAGGATACTGATGTATGAGTTGAACTGTATTTCATGAATTTGGAATATATTCCACGAAGGAAAAATAAATAGAGTCAACCTAGAAACGGAGAAATTAAATATTTCCAACATAGAACACTGCAGGCAAACTTCGCAAGTGGCGAAAGATAAGCGTGTTGCCGACAACAGGCTTAGGTGGTTATAGACATATACTTGGCCTATTCCAAAGAACAGAACGACCAAGAAAACTTTTCCATATTCGATAGAATACGAATTAGATGAGATATTCCGATAATGAGATAGTAGATCAAATATTCGACCATCAGGAATGTCTATAAAAGAATGGGAAAAAAAATTAAATGCAAATATTTGCGAGAAGGAAGAAGGAATTTGAGGAGTCCGTTGGGGGAGTCAGTCGAGTTTATTACTGAGTTTAAAGTGTTGGTAAGAGTCACTTGAAAGATATTCCTAGCCAAGATGGAAGAACTGGATAGTTGGGAAAATGGAGGAAACAGTCAAGAAGATATATCGAGATGACATGGGATGCACCAGAGACCAGAAGGAAGTAGCTGATGGGTCAACCACATTCCTACAAATACTATAGTATAAGTCATACTAGTAATTCAAAACCTATTCATGTCAAATTGCGTTGGCAATTTATATAATTAGAATGATTAGTCATGTTCACATCAGCATCCTCAATGCATTCATTATTTCCATATATATTTATAATGTTTAAACCACAAATAGATTTTTTTAATTTATAATTTGATATTCAGCCTTATTTTCTACATTCTTGCATTTAGATCAAATATTAAATTAGTTAACATGGAACTATTGGGAAGGAAATCTGAAATTAACCATAAATCAATCTATGACATCACAGCAGAGGTTTATGCGATATCTAGCCTTTCTTAATTATAATAATTATATAAATAGTATGTATATTTTAAAATAGATACGTTCCCTTCTGGAACCAATAGAAATAACGGTATACAACTATTAAATTTATTGAATACACGTAAATGCCTTTTCTGGAACCTCCAATCGCCATAGAAAACCGGACAGCCAGAAACTTAGCCGTGTATGTGTGGCAGTAAATTAATCAATGTTGATATTTAATACGATTAGTTATGTTTTATATTAAAATTTTTAACAACTTGATTATAAAATCTTAATATTTTACCTAACCCTTTGAACTTCTGGGTTCCGGCACAGCATGTCCGAAAATGCTCGCTCGTTCCCGATTTGGTGGCCTAGGATGTCTGTAAAATTCACAATTAAACAAAATTCTCTCGTAAAAAAACGACATACGCAAATCAAAATAAAAGAACATAACATTGATTTCCTGATCATATTGGCACTTGAAAAAACGTAATTTTGTCTCTTCGTATTTGGTCGTAAATTGATCAAATCCTCCACCAAGACTGCGAACTCTCTAATAATGAGCCACATCCCATTCAACGTTTTGATTTTATCGTGGTAATCAGAGCACTCTTATACACGAAATAGATTAACGATCTCGAAGGAAAGGAGAGACAATTCTAGTTAAAATCTAGCTTATAGATATTTTTCCGGTATGAGATTTTCCCTTTGACATAAATCGAGATTTTTCCCTTCGACGGGTGCTTATATGTTTATTTTGGGACCTGTTTTAACACAAAGATTCTCTAAAAAACATCCAATATTTATCGAAAAATTTACTAAAAAGTAAAAATAATAGTGGTAAGAAAAACTGTTTTAAAATATGTTTATTTCGTATTTTTTTAAAAAAATTGACTAGCTAGATATCAGAAACCATTGGATCTAAAGAAATAAATTTGATATCATTTTGTTGCAAAATTAGTTTAATTTAAAAGCATGTTGAGCAACTTTAGGTAAAAACTTAAAATTCGCCACTCTATATTATTCTGTACTCTATGAATAGCCCCGGCAGTTCTACCCACAGGCGGATCTACAGGAGGGGAGGGGGAGGCCTTTCGGGCTGAAGCCCATCCAAAATGGTAAAATATTACCATGTTTCACAGAAAAAAATATGATAAACTATCTCTTAAAGTATTCTTGTTCGTGTAATTACGTTTAATAGGACTTCAAGAACCACTTAAACACCATTTCATATAGGTAGTTAATTTCTTTCTTTTTTTTCAAATTAATTATCGTTATATGTATACAAAAAAAAACAACTTCGGGCTGAAGCCCCCCCCCCCCAAAATTAAATCCTGAATCCGCTAGTGGTTCTACCTGCGTAAAGAGAGATCCTATATCAGAAAGTAGAGAGTGGTAAGAGTAGCTGTAAATTTCAAATTCATTAGTGTAATATTAAATTTTTTTTACCAAAGTGTTTTCACAACCATCGAATAAACATTTTTGCAGTTGTTAGTTGCTCAACAAAGAATTTTTTCGTAATTTACGTGCTTCATAACAACTATTACTTTAATTATAAATCGAAAGAACAACACGTTTTATTTATGTTCTGATGTGAATTACTGCAGTAATGTCAGATACTAAATTTTAAGACTGTTTTTTTGACATTTTTACAAGTAATATTTATATGAGACTGTTATTTAATCGGCGTAGAAAAAGTTAATGCTTATTTTATTTTACAGACGCAGTTTGGTCGGTATCCCAACTCTTCGTGAGGAATCCCTTCTAACAGGCAAGATACTCATCAATTAAAGCGAAAAAGGCACATCAACCAACCTATCGATGAAGAAATAAAAAAAAAAAAACTTAAAAAAAAAAACAACTGTATTCGGTAAATGACCCATGGCTCGTTCAGGAAAATCACACTCAGATATGCTGGCCAATAAAGACAATGAATGAAAGCAAACCTGACTTTCACCGCTCCGATCTTTATTAGCGCATAGGCTAATGAAATAAAATTCCCACCCATCTTACAGATTTTATACATTAGATTATCGAATAGTACAAATTATTAGTGAACCTATGGAAATTACCAAACTAAATTAGGATCAATGAAATTTTATTTCTTAATATATCGGGGCGGTGGACCTCTTCGGTTTGTCAGCGGGCAAAAAAAAAAAAAAAAAATAAATGAAATAAATAAGTAAAATGATAATTATAAGAGTGATTTAAAACTTGATCACACCCGGCCAATGCAAGGACCAAGAATTTTAAATATTAAGCATGTCTTTAAGGAAGCTCAAAAGGTCGCTCAAATACATATAATACATTCATTATTAATGTAAATAAGGTCAATTTGGGGATCTTAATGCCACTGTACACATTTAAATATTTTTTATTTCTTTGTTTTATATCTGTGTTACAAGTGTCATTTTAACAAAATAGAAATATGGCAATCAGGACAATTCCCTTACAGTAACTTTTCCCTTTCTTTTTCATTATTTTTTCTCATTAGTAAATTTCTAATGAACCTCATGATAGTTTATGAAAGGTAAAGATTGTTGTATGGTTTTATTTTCTCATTTCTATTTTTTTCCCCATTTACTTAAAATTATAGTATAGCTAATATTTTGTAAACAATAGAAATGGTCCTCAGGTTAGAAACTTACTTACCAATAAGCCTGTAAATCTTATTTGGGCGGCCAAAATATATTAGTATTTTATGCACAATCTAGTTAGTACCACGAGGTTTATTGTAGCTAAAACTGGAAACTTTCCGATGTTGGAATAATTTCGATTGAGTGGAAGGATAGTTTCCTGTTGTTTCATTATTTCCTTCATATTTGTGTAAGTGATGTTTTAAATATTCATTAAGTGTTTAAAAGGATTATCTTCGTAAAGCAAAACTATAAAATATTTTTTGTTTACAAGCTTTTGATGTCGTGATTGGACTGGATCGATGCTTTGCCTTAATAATATCAACTTAACCATGTTTTGCTTAAGAAGGCCTCACGAAATAACTGTTGAAAGGAACTATAAAATCTTTATGATAAGATAATTATAAATGAATATCTATATATTTTAAAAATAATGTGCTCATAATAATAATTTTTAAAATTGATAACACAACAGATATATTAATTTTAGTTCTGAAACTTGTTATAACTCATTCAATTAAAAATGAAACCAGCGATAGAACATAAAATTAATACAGAAACTTGTAATAAAAGCTTTAGCTAAAAATTCAAAGTTTTATTGCAAATTATCATTGCATATTTCCTGAAAAAAAGAAAAGAACAAGCTATAGATAGTTATCATAATAAAATAATATATATTTTTATTTAATCTGATTATAATAATATTTAGATACATCTATAACTATAAACTTATATATAATATATACAGTTGTAATTAATTGCCAAAACCACACCATGTATGAATTATATTTACAAAAAAATGTTTTATACATTGAACCAATTTTCATAATACATTTACAACAATCTATTATTCATCAAAATCATCACAATAGGTGTGTCAAATTGAGGCAAAATGGTCAAAAACGTCCTAGGGAAAAAGGCCTAATATCTCATTTTATTCTATAACGCTATAGATAATGTTTCATCTTGATTCAATAGGAGTTAAAAATCTCAAGATATAATTCAAAAGATTTATAAAATAATTGGATGAATAAACAAGATAGTTGAAAAAATAAATAAATTAACTTTAGTATAATGTATTTTTACTAAAAAACCATAATTTAAAAATTGTCAACAAATTATAACTACAATTTTTAAATTTAATATTTAAATAATTATGTAATATTAAAAAAATATAGAGGAAGTATATATTAAAAAAAAAATTATTTTCTACTACCATATTAATTACATTTTCATGGAGATCCAGAATTCTGCTTTTTGGTTTCTTCACATTTTTTAAATTAAAGGATGAAATGTTGGAAGAAGTTGATTATTTTTTGTTACGACCAAGAACCGAACAAGACATGTTGGGGCCCTCAACGATAACCATTTCGGGGTCCTCTTCGAAACAAAATGGTTTCAACTTAGAGGCCATACTATATTCTTTTTATATTTGTTTGATTATTTCAGGGAGGAATTTATGAACCTTTTTTTAAATCAATATACTGATTAAAAATATATATTGTTTATTACATAAATTATTCAAATAGGTAAATGGTGAATTGTTCCTATATCTTTCAAAAGGACCAAACAATCAGATATGAAATTTATTTAGGATAAGATAGCAATACATTAAAAGTAAAGGCAAGGCATCGTTCCAAAAAGAGATAAATAATATTTTGAATCTAAATAGATTGTTCATAGATTACCATTTAACGATACGTATTTTAATAGACTTAGATGAAGTAGTTGTTAACATATCTTTAAGCTACTCTAAATACTTGTTGGAATTCATTATATTATTCATGTTTGTCAGTTACCTGTTTAATTTAATTTATCTATTGTTTTTATTGTGTTAAGCGGAGGATTTTTTGCAACAATACCTAAGAACAACTAAGTTTTAAGTGTTTTTATTTCTCATGAAATAAATCCAAAAAGGAATTACAGGTTGAAGCTACGTTGGTTTGTCTTCCTATAACAACGAAAAAAATGTTTCCCGTTAAAGTATTTTGTGTAATATATACATACATATATATATATATATATAAATATATAAATATATATATATATATATATATATATATATATATATATATATATATATATATATATATATATATATATACATATATATATATATATGCATGTATATATAGATACATATGTATAAACAGTCACACATATATTGTACCTTTGTCTTTCATGATTCTTTGGGCTGATGCCGAATTGATAGGAACAGAATAATGTGACGAAAAGACTTCAGAGTTCTTTTATGTTTTTTATTTAAGGTTATGTCGTTGTTTCTTATAGTCTAACAATAAAAATAAAGGACCAATTTTTATTTGTATTATATGTTATTCTAATCATAGTTTAAGATTGCTCAACTCATTTTAAAAAAATGAATAATTTAATTAGTTTGATGGATGTTGAGAAAGTGTGTATAAAAATATTGTTGGCATTTTGAGACTTCAACTCATTTAAAATTCTTTAAATTGAAATCCTAGGACAAATATATCAATTAATGTGTATAATGTATAATGTACTGCAATTTTTTTAAAACTTATATTTCAAGAAATGGACAGACTAAAGAATATTTCGAGTTATAGGTGTTAGTTATTATTCTTTTCAAGCTGTAGAAGTTACATTTTTATTTAAAATAGAAGTTTAAAAAAAAAATAAGTTCACATTCAAATTCAAAACATGAATTAATATTCAAACAAGAATTATGTTTAAAGATATGTTGGAGATTTTGAATATATTGATCAGTGAATATTCTGCACTATACCTCATCTGTAACACTGTGTCATTACAGAAGTAAAGGTGGCTATTAAATAACCTCACCCCTAGGTAAATGAATATCTATTATATATTTTAAAAATTATAATAATTAATTGCTAAAACCACACCATGTATTAATTATATTTACAAAAAAATGTTTTACATATTGAACCAATTTTCATAATACATTCATAACAAAAATTAATGCTGTCTATTATTCATCAAAATAATAGACAGCATTAACAATAGGTTTGTCAAACTGAGGCAAAATGGTCGAAAACGTCCTTGCGAAAAAGGCCTAATACCTCATTTTATTCTATATCGCTATAAATAATGTTTTTTTCTTGATTCAAAAATCTCAAGATATAATTCATTCAATAAAAAAAAAGTTTAAATCAGTAACCGTATTTAATTCATAGAATTCTTTCGGATTTTGACTTAAATAACTCTTTAAAAATTTAGTTTATTTATATATACAGCTTAATTTTTTAAAAAACTAAATGTAGTTTTATCATGAGTTTATTATGAGAAAAATTGACATTTCAATAAATGTTAGAGGGTCAACCTTATTGTGATATTTATCTATGAGAGGTTTCATACCTTCTGACTTAAATTTTATAACATATCTAAACTGTCAGTTCACATTATTTTTAATTTTATTACTATATAAAATTTAATTCAACTACATGAAGTCTCACCTTGCTCTAACAATGTGATAAAAAAAGAAAAAAAAATGCAATTGACTGATTTTTAAGTCTTCTAGTGGTTATGAGAGAAGATTAATAAGTTTCTTTTATAGAACTTTAAAAAAGTAATCAAACCCCAAAATTTTTAAAACGGCTAAGCCCATTTCTATTTTTTGTATAGCTATGTACTATTATATGTTAATGTTATATGTATGTTAATTATATAACTGAAAACTAAATCTATTACAAATGTGTTTCCACCTCAGTGTATATAGGTAAATATTAAATATATTCAGTAATAAATGGATTCTTAATAAATATAAAGATTGTCAAATTGTGTTGTTATATTAAAAGCGGTTAAAGTAGCCTAAGTGATTGCATCAAATTTACCTCAAACCATTTCCATAAATATCCTCAACAACTTAAATAGCAGGGCTCGAAATGGAAAAAAAAACTTTTATATTTAAAAAGTTTCGGTAACATCAAAATTTTTGCTGTCGATAGTTTTTCATTTTTTTTTTTTTTTTTTTTTTTTGGGACTAGAACTTTTTCCCTTGGAACTTTTCAAGTAAAGGTTTTATAGAACTTTCATTTTTAAAAAACTTTTATTTAAAAGCTCTGTAAATTTCACTTAAAAGTCCCTTTTATTCATAGATACTCAAACAAACGACACGTTAGAATAATTGATTTAAGACAAATTAAAACTCTTATCTAAGCCCAATTACTGTTTATTTTTCAATTAACTTAACTTTTTGAAAATAAGTTGAACTTTTACTATAAATATGGAACTGTCTAACAAAAAATTTCCTTAGAATTTTTATTTTAAAAACTTTTATCCTAAAATGTTTTACAGAAACTTTTAAAATGGAACTGTTTAAAAAAGTTTCAACCTCTGCTAATTAGTTCAAAGTCCTTTTACAACTTTTTACTGAAATTAAAAAAATATTTTTATTTAGAACTATAACTATAACTATTAAAACTATTCAGCCTAAAATTTTAATTAATACAATGAGAAAGGATTAGATAATAATTTATTCTAGGAAAACTTAATTGAAGGGTCAGATGAAGTCAGTATGATGCCATTGCCATTATGGATTGTTAGAAATAATTTCTTGGTTATGTATTTGGCAGAGCTCTGTAATTGGAAGTGATGATTGAATTAAAAAAAAAAGATCAAGTTTTTTTTTTAGAAAATTAATCAAACCAGAATTTCCAAAATAGATCTGTTTTCATTTCTGGTGTTTCTCAAGGAAGCATCCTCGGTCCTATCCTTTATAAAGTTTATACAGCTGATATCCCAACCCATCCCAACATGGTCATCACCACCTATGCAGATGACACTTATATCCTATCTGTTAATAACGACCCTTTAATTGCATCCCAAACCCTCCAATCATGTATCACAAACCTTGAAGAATGGTGTCATAACTGGAGAATAAAACTAAATCCCATCAAATTATCTTAACCCTTCGTCATAAACCTACAACTTCTTGTCCTGCAATATCCTTCAATGATATTCCACTTGTTCCTGTTGAATAAATCCGCTACCTAGGACTTCACTTGGATGAACGTCTCACTTGGAATCCACATACAAAACTTTCAATTAATTACAAAATACTCATCTACTTAACCATAATAAGACCTGTAAGGACATACGGAGTTAAGCTTTGGGGTTCTACTAAACCATCAAATTCCTATCGTATCTAATCCTTACAATCCAAAATCCTTAATGGCCCATATTTAGTCACAAATAAAACCATTCATAAAGACCTTAATGTTCCATATGCCGCTGATTTAGCCCGAGGCAGATACCTATCCTTTCATGATAAACTCCAGTCCCATCTGAATCCACTTGTTTCCACCCTTGCTTCTCCTCAATGGAGGGAGAAGTATAACTCGGATATTTTAAGTCCACTTTTGTTAATCGTATTTATGGATGAAATTCTAAAGTCTGTAAGCAAAACTAAAAGAGCTATCATAGGCAAATAGAAGTATCTCTAACTAATATATGCATATGATATTATCCACATAGAAAACTCAGTGCAATCATTACAGTAAGAAATAATGGAATGGAAAGCTGAGATTAAAAAGAAAAGAAGAAAAAGGTAAAATCATAAAGGCAGACAGAAAATTTGAAGATGTACGAATAAATTGTAAGAAAGGACAGCTATTGAAATAAAAGGTAAAATAGATCCGAAAATATCAAATAGTATCTATTTCCTGATCCACAACACGGTCGTAGAGAGGAGAGAGGTCGAAAATATGACAAAAATAAGTATATATAAAATGATCTGCCTTCGAACCTTACCGTATGGAAGTGTGTGTCTAGATCCTACAAGACAAGCATAAAAGTTACTAACCAAGAATATTGGAAAAGGTGGAAAAGAAAATGCTCAAATGGTTCGGCCATGCAATAAGGATGAACTGAAAAAGAAACATTAGACGTTTCTTGAGACAAGATCAACAGAAAAGAGGCTATGAGGACGACCTAAAAAAACATGCATAGATTAAATAGCCAAGATGGAAGGGGTAAAAGGTAAACAGTT